AATCCCATCTACCTATGCCCACACCCTACTCCAGGTGCCCGCCATCAGGCATGCATCAGGACAAGGATCCATCATCTATCCTGATGGCAGAAGGGCAGAAAAGCCTGATATTTTCTTTACCCTACAGTCCACCCCTCAGGGTTTTCTGCCATACAGTCTATACATATATATACAATTTTCTAAGCAAACAAACAATGCAGCCATGGCCCACAAAAGTAAATACATCAAATATAACAAAATACAATATAACAAAATACAACAGAACACAAATAAGTCCAGACAGGGCACCAACCTAGTGCAAAAGACAATTATTGGTACCAGCAGATGAGCCACCAAATCTGCTGCCGAAGGCACTGTTCATACGAGGGAGGGGAATCACGACATCTTTTGCAACATGCCAGGAGCCGTCAGGCTTCCTGGCCTTCTCTGGCTGTAGTCTCGGCTACAAGGCACACACAGCATCCACCCCAGGATGCACTAGCTCTGGGATTGGCAATTTTATTCTGTTGGGGTAATCGCCAACCCTCAGGGTTTCTGTCTGCAGTCGCTCCAACACTCCGCCTTCATGGCCACCCATGCGACTCACAGACCCCTGCACTCAAGCCAACCCACTGCACAAGCACATGGGTCGGGGATCAAAACTCTATATTTGGCTTGGGCTCCACCCCAAGCCACGTTCCCCACCCGTCCCCCAAGGACGGCTTCCTCAGCTCCTCACCCTCACTCAAGAATGAGCAGGGCATCACCCACAGGTGATTTTACGAGACTCACAGGTCTTCAGCATACCCAGGCTGCTTAACAGCCGCTTAGGGCTTCTCAACTTAGCATCAGCACCAGCTTTTGCCTTCTCAGTTGGCTTTTCTCCTCCACCTGGCTGCTGGGCATGCACAGGCTGCTCTTGGCCATCTAGGCCTACTGGCCACCCCCAGATTCTCAAAAAAAAAAACAACAACCTGCCAAGGTCCTCCGCCTTCTGGCGGGATTGTCAGTCCAAGTTTATCAGTCCATGTCCATTGGCCTCTCCTGCGTCAGCAGCGCCTGCTGCCTCAGGGGTCATTGGCTGGTCCTTTCCGGTGTCGTTGGCTGGTCCTCTCGGGCGTCTCCTCCATGCGAGGTCTCATCCCACAGCTCCGGACCGTATCCAACTTCTGTGCCGCCATGGCGCCTCCAGCGTCGTCACAGGCAAACAGTCTGTTCTCCTTAGTCCCTCCAGGTCTTCGGAGGGCTCCAATACCCGTCTGCATGGATCCTGCCGACTTACGCCAATTGTAAAGGCAGGACATGGGCACAGTGCAGGTTTTCTGATCCCATGCAGACCGGGTAAAGGAGGAGTCAGAGTCCTCAGTAGTTTTGCAGGTTTTTTATTTGGGTTCACCGGGCATATGGCAGGCAGGGGTGCTGGCTGGGGGCTGGCCTCCCAGCCCCCAGCAAGTCTTCACTCCATCTGGGCTCTCTGGAGTTGGTTCTGCTGCTTCTCGGCTTCTCTTTAGGCTTCATGCTGCTGCTGCTGCTGCTGCTGCTGCTGCTGGCGTCCCCGTGATGCCGCCCCCAAAAGCACAGTCTTAGCTCAGCTGAATCCCATCTACCTATGCCCACACCCCACTCCAGGTGCCCGCCATCAGGCATGCATTCAGGACAAGGATCCATCATCTATCCTAATGGCAGAAGGGCAGAAAAGCCTGATATTTTCTTTACCCTACAATATAGTAGATACACGTTATAATAAACTTGTTTTGCTTTATTCTCTTGTCAATCAGTACAATGATGTTTGGTGGAGGGTAAGAGTAGAAAATTTAGGAAGGAGGCACCACCAGACCAGAAACTGGAGGTGGGGGTAGAAATGATTAACATAGTTCTTAAAAGGGCCATAGAAATGGAAACCGCTTAGCCCCTGGCGGCCACAGCCAGTATCTGACCCCTATAGAAAGTATCTGGAGGCTCAGACCAGAGGTGGGGAAATGGAGATTGAGTCCTCTTAGAGGAGGATTATAGAGAATCACAAGTCCTCAGATCAACCTGGTCACACCCTAAACACAATTAACAATAGATAACAATTCCACAAAAGCATAGATAACATTCCACAAAGAACCCCTCCCAAAAAGAACACAGCATCAGCACAATTTCTGCACTGACAAAACTCAGCTCTCCTACCCACCTGTGACTAAGCAGGTGTTTCTCTTCACAAACCTTTTCCCTTTGCAAAACAGGAGTGGCAGCTCCTCTGTCCAACTGTGACTACGCAGGTGCCTCTCTTTTTCTTTCTCTTTTTCCTATTAAAGCTGTCCCCTTTTTTTTTCTGATTTTTAAAAAGATTTATTTATTTATTTATACAAGCACTGGGTACAGTCAGAAGTGCGGGAGGGTGAGAGAATTCACCAGAGCCAGAGCGGGGAGCAGAACAGGCAGACTGACGAAATACACTGCTGAGGGGAGCAGTGGACGGCAGGAGAGGTCTGCACGCCATGTGGGACCCTCCTCTGGTGGCCGGGGAGCAGCCGGGGATCGAACTGGTGCTGCAGAGGCTGCGGGCAGCTTCGCAACCCAGCGCTCAACCGCTGCACCACCAGGGGAGGCCCTTAAACCTGTCCTTTTAAAATGTAGCTTTCGCTTGCCTGCCTGTACAGATATCTTCCTTTCCTGGGTAAACTCTCCATGTGCTGCTGAAAGGGGAACTCTGACGAAACCCTTCGCTGAGGTAACCCAACAGCTTCAAACCAACAGCTCTTCAAACAATTCACTGAAACCAACAGCTCTTCAAACCAACATCAATGTTGACTTGTTTATTTTCAGCCTAGAAGAACAATGAGGGGACGGAAAAGATGCCCTTTTGCCTCCCTTCGTCCTAACCAACCTAACAAGTTTCTAACAGTGTAATTAATCTCCACAGAAAGGGGAGGTTTCAGGTTCCCTGCCCCACCCTAGGAAATGTGGAGCTGAGCAGGAAAGAGCTGGAGAAGGCTGAGGATGGAAGGATGGAAGAGGCTAGGACACTAAAGGAGGCACGTGGAGCAGAGACACATGAAGAAGAAACCACGCTTGCTTCACCGCCTTGGACTGGTACCAAGGACTTGGGGAACGTGGAAGGAGACACTTGGAAGAGATTTGAATCGGGTAACTGTGGGGCGGATGATAATGGCAGCCTTTATCTAGACTTCTGCTTTCATTTTGCTCCTTCTAGACTTGCCAGGCCCCTCCTGACCCTCCCCCCCAGCAGGTGCTTTTAGACTTGTGGCAAGTTTTCCGGCCTCAGTGGCTCTGCTTTGGGCCAACTCTGAGGAAATGAGTGATTTATTAAGCCTATTATCCTTTCTTCTCTCCTTTCTATCACATACTAATTGTCTTAAATTTCTTTTCTATTAAAAGTCTTGTGCACTAGGAGTATGCTTTGTCTTTGTGCGACAGATGGCAGAGCCCATTTAGAGCAGGCAGGTGTGGGGGGCCTGGGGTGGCCTGCTTTCCGCCCACTCACAGTTTCAGGAGAAAAAAAGAGAAATTTCTGTGAAGATATTACTAAATCAATGGCTAAGTGATATTTGGAAAAATCTCCATTACCTCTATGAAATTACTTAAAAATTTTACATTTCTGATTCATGCTTTCATGGGGATTTTATTTTGTTTTATCTCTTGTGGGAGGAGTTCAAAGCAACAAGTTGTCTGCCAGACACTTGAGTTACCTCAGGAGAAATAAAATGCCATACAGTCTTGTTACATCAAGTGTTTATAGGATGCTTTGTAGTTTTTAAATGTTCTCGTGAAATCATTATTTTCTGGCAGTATCATACTTTCCATTTTGTGGATGAGGAACTGGACTTCACAGAGAATAAGTAACTAGGCCAAGCAAAAGGCAATTTGAACTTTGATTCCTTTTTTTAATCATTTAAGGCATCTACTTTTTTTTTCTTAAAGATTTTTTTTTTATATATATACAATAGCTGGGGTACAGGCTAGAGGTGCAGGGGGTGAGAGGATTCACCAGACACAGAGTGGGAAGCAGAACAGCTAGAAGTGTTAGGGGGAAGTGATGTCCTGAGTTAATCCCATACAGGCTTTGTGGACCCCACCCCCACTCCAGACTAAAGCCATCAAGACATTGGGAAAGACAAATCCCATCACCACCAAAGGGAAGGTGGCTGGGACCTGAGGGTGGAGTTGGGCAGCCAGGTTGGGTATAAAAACCAAACACGTGGGCCTTGGGGGGCTCGCTATCGCTCGCCTCCTGGCTTCACCGCTCCTGGCTGGCGGCCAGCTCTCAGAGTGCCATTTGGGATTCCTGATCGGCGGATCGGGTAGGACTCATTTAAAACTTTGTCTCCCACTTTTCTCCCTGAGCTGTACATTTCCTCATTTCCCCTTCCCTTGTAAATAAACCTTTTATTAACCTTTCGCGTGTGCCTGCAGTAGAACATTGATAACTCCTTTTAAGCGCGCGGGTGAGGACCCACAGTCAGGCACCCCATTTTGTATCGGGGTTGCTCTACAACAGTTGGACCGAAAGCACTGCTGAGGGGAGCAGTGAGTGAGACAGGAGAGGCCTGCCCTGCCATTTGGGAATCTCCCTGGCTGGCCGGGAATCGAACGGGTGCTGCAGAGGCTGCAGACAGCTTCACAGAGCTGCGCTCAAGCCACTGCGCCACTGGGGAGGCCCAAAGCACCTACTTTTTTTTAAAGGATGTTATTTTTTCAGAGCAGTTTCAGTATCATAGTGCAAAAAGTTGACATTTGTGGAACCATTTTAAAAGTGGAGCCATTAGAAAGAAACTGCATTACCTGTTTTGTTTGAACTAGGTCAAAAACCTATGGACTAACACCCAAGGAAGGGTGGAGATGAGGAGGGAAGAGAAGAAGCTGGAGAGGAGACTGAGGAAGGAAGGAAGCAGGATGGAGAGCCAGAAGGAGACCTGGAGGAGACACATGGAGCCAAGAGACATGTGAAGAAGCTGCGCTTGCCTTTTGGTCCTGGACAGGTTGAAACAGGTGTGGTTTGTGTGTAAGAATTAGGAATGGAGTCAGCATATCTTCAAATGCAACTCAGGGCATGTCTAACACAGGGTCTTGCAGAAGTGGCAAAAGTTCGTCCAGTGGATCCAATAGAATACTTAGCGTTGTGGCTTTACAAGTATAAAGAAAATGTAACCGCAGAGCAAGCAAGAGAAAGGGAAATGGTGGAGTTGGAACATGAAAGAGAAATAGCTCTAATGGAGCAGGAAATGATGGAGCGGCTCAAAGCAGAGGAGCTCATGTTTCAGGAGCAACAACTGGCCTTCCAGCTAGAGCTGGAAATGCAAGAAAAAGAGAGAGTGAGAATAGAAGAACTAAAGAAAATAGAAGAAATAATGGCGATGGAGGCAAGAATGAATATGGAAAATATAGTTAAGGGTGATGATGCCCCCCATTTAGAGGAATCAGGCAAAACACTAGCTGAAATTAGCTACCGGTACAGGGTGCCTAACTTGAGCAGAGTGGAGGAGGTTGATGAGCTGATGCTATCTGATGTTGCATTAAACATTGATTAAGATTTATTGTCTCAACCAACCCGAGTAATAAATTTTTCTGCTTGTTTCAATTTAAAAAAAAAAACCTATGGTCTGGGTCAAAAAGGAATATTTTTAAGAAACCATCAAAAAACAATTGTTTGAAAAGGTGTCCAGATCACTAGAACTATGGACCTTTTCCCTAGAGAATAGAATCAGTAACCAATTATGTTTAGCCAAGAGTAGTTTGAGCTTGTTGACAATAATCAACTCTTTAACCATTTCAAATTCTTTTCTTCCAATAAAAAAACCCTGACGTTTGTAAGGACATGACTGAGGGGTACCAGGGACCCTAAGCTGTTAGGGGATATATGCTTTAAAAAGCATCCGAACGTACAAAGGCAAAGAAGGCATACTCTTAGTGTGATAGATTTTTTTTTTTTTTTTTTTTTAGAGGCATGCTATTATTTGTTTGCTTGTTTTGTTTATACATGCACTGGGTACAGTCAGAAGCGCGGGAGGTGAGAGAATTCACCAGAGCCAGAGCGGAGCAGAACAGGCAGAAGGACCGAGTACACTGCTGAGGGAGCAGCGGGCGGCAGGAGAGTCTGCGCCATGTGGGACCTCCTCTGGTGCCGGGAGCACCGGGATCGAACCGGTGCCGCAGAGGCCGCGGCCTTCGCAACCCAGCGCTCAACCGCTGCGCCACCGGGGAGGCCCATGATAGATTTTTTTTAATAGAATTGGTACGCAGAGAGACAGAAAAGAAAGATTTCAAATCATAGTTTCCCATTAAAACTACCCAAGTTAACCCTTGTGGGCAAATGCCAACCAAATAGGCTTGGCCCAAAGTGGAGCTGCTGATACCCAAAAACTTCACACAAGTTTAGAGTATAGGTTGGCAGGGAACCACAATAACTGGGACAGAAAGAGAAACTCAAAATTGAGAATATACCACATCAAGATAATGGCTGCCATAGTCTTGGGCAAAGGCCGGGAGTCATCTCCCACATGTTCTTCAGCTACATGTCTCTTACAAGGATCTTTTCCAAATGTCTCTACATGTGTCTCCTTCCACATGTCTCCTGCCAATAGTACCAGAAAGCGAGTTGAAGCCAGAAAAGCAAGAAGGCAAGAGCATGCAGTTAAAAGTCAAGCATGGCGCAAGCTGGTTGCGAACTGCGCCTCGCGGTGCCGGTTCAATCCCCAGCTGCTCCCCGGCACCGGAGGAGGTCCCACATGGCGCGCAGACCTCTCCTGCCACCCGCTGCTCCCCTCAGCAGTGTACTTCGGTCCTCTGCCTGCTCTGCTCCCCGCTCTGGCTCTGGTGAATTCTCTCACCTGCGCTGACTGTACCAGTGCATGTATAAACAAAAAAAAAAAAAAAAAAAGTCAAGCATGGCT